AAAAGAAAGAAAGAGAGAGAGAGAACGCCAAGTTGATTACCAAATGACGACAATAGATGAACGGCAGGGCTTGACCTTGGCAGTCGCAAGCCTAAAAATGTCGCAAAGTGCTCAACAGGGGATGAGTGTCGGTGCTTACTGATAATTTCAAAACACAAAAAATCCTAAGACTATTGGATTATTAACACCAGCCCCACAACAACATTCATGGCACTCCGGAAAAAAAAAAATTACGTAGACGAAAAAGTTAAACAACCCTTCCCCCCCCCCTCCCCCCTCCCCGTGACATGCCTTCGAAGGACCAGGAGGCATGCTGATCAACGAACACGGAGGAGGACAATGGGAGGATTGCAGTGCATGGGGCGTCAACGGGGGAGAAAACGCTGCAAGCGGCGAAGGGCAGTCAATAAGTTCCCCGGGCAATGTCGTGAACGGCAGGGTTCCCTATTCTACCTCTCCCATATAACCTTCTCTATCTCCAGCAGTTCTTGGCACATGAGCTTGCTCATGTCGTCGAAAGTTGCGTCGTGCTTTCTCTGCACTTCCACCTCTGCTTCCATGGCTTCGCATTGTCGAAGTTGAATGGAACACTGCCTCTTGCTAACGCTCTCCATTGTCGTCGCCATTAGCATCTCGTGCTTCTCCATGCATTTCATGGGAGCTTCGAAATTTTGTTGCCTAACGTTCTTCCTCTTCCCGAAACTGCCACTTCTGCCCGTCGCTGGTGAAAACCCTTTCATGGAGCTTTCCTCTTCATCATTGTCGTCGCCACCCGCGTCCCCATCGCCAACAGATTTAGGGCCGCCTGCAACCCCGGACGGCAGCTGCACGCCACTGGAACCGCTTGTATCAGCTACAATCTTCAGGTTCATGGTATGACTCTTCGCGGTGGAACCCTTGATCTCCTCATACACGGCTCGATCCATGGTGAAATTGAAGCTATGAGCAGATCTCTCCTTTCCCGTCAATTGAAAGAAATCCTGCTTTCGGGACTCCCCCTGGAACAGGTGCACCTTCTTGAACCCTTGCATCAAGTTGTCCCATTTCTTCCCACACTTGTCAGTTGTCCTCTCCATGCCAACCTTCCTCAGCCTCTCTGCAACATCTGCCCACTTCCATTCCCTCGGCTTCATGCGAGCGCATGCGTAGCCCATGATGAGGGCGACCATGTGGTCGACTGACCAGAAGTTTCGCCTGGCCTCGCCCTCCACGTCGCCTTCCCCTTCACTCCCCGCAGCCGCCCCTTTTTTCCCATTCGCGCCGTCGACGAAGAAGCCTTCGTCATCCTACTCCGACCACCCATGGTTTTCTGTCTGA